AAAAGTGAGACAGCAAGAAAATGCAGTTAAACCCCTACTGACTGCAATTTCCTGAGCAATACTGAAAATATTGCAAAAACTCTAACAGCACCTTGGGAACATTTTATTTCTCCCTCTAATTGTTATTAGTGGAGTTATTGCCCTCAAAAGATGCTGCACCTTCCCCAGGACAGCATGCCTCAGCCTGGCCCCAGCAAGGCTGAACGTGGAGGAGCAAGGGACACCAGTGTGCTCTGAACTGAGCATCCCCACCGGCACGGCCATGCTGGTGACAGCCATCTGTGTGGTGGTGAATCACCAGCCCACCAGGCATCTTGCCAGCCTGGTGTTGGCTCACAGATACCAGCATCTCCCAGTCTGGCTTGGAGGTGGTTCCTGGGGATGAGATGCTGAAGCACGGCAGGCATGCTGGAGACAAGTCCTGCACTCCTGAAGGACTCCTAAACTGTTTTAGCAGAGTCAGTGTGCAAGGCAAAATGTTGGAAAGGGATGTTCTGTGCATCCCATTAATTGTGGCTGTACATAAACACATATTGCTGTTAACGTGGTTTTGGACGCGCTTGCATCGCAGCTGGGAGATAGAAATGCTGCAAGCTTACCTAGCTTACCCCGAGCTGTTTGGGTAGCAAGAGTCACTTAAGAAGTGATAACGTGGACATTCAGGTGGGTTAACATCCCCAATACCTACAGACGAGCGTGGTGCTGACCCCCACGCCTCTCCCCGGCTCTTCCAAATCAGGCTCAGTGCTCCTTGAGGAGAAGGTTAGAAACCAAAAGCACAGTTATTTCCTACTATCAAATTTCAGAGCCCTCCAGACCCCACAGACGGCTCTGCTACGAGCCTCAGATGAGCTCTATTTCTGCAATAACTCCTCCTGAGAGAAAGAATTAGGAGGCTTAACACTTCGGGATGACAGTTGCCGGAGCGGCCGTCAGATAACAGACACCAGCAGCAGGCACAGGAGCCAGGAGCGAGCCAGGCCGCCTCATTCAGCCAGCCCGGAAAAAAAAACAACCATGTTTATAAAAACCCACATGAAAAAGAACGAATTGCCAATTACGCAGAAGTCTTTAAATAACGCAATGCAAACCTTTCATGTGCAGCTGACAAATGATACACGGTCACAGGGAAATAATATAACAGATAGGGAGGCTGAGAGCAGGGAATGTGAGCAAATCCATTTTGCAGAAGCCAGAAAGGGGACTTGCTTGCTGAAAAGGATTAGCTGGATAAAGCCAAACACTTTAAAAAAAAAACTGTATTAGAAACTAAACACGCATCAAACAGAAACAGGAAAAAAACCCAGATTGTAAGAGGATCCAAGGAGCGACGCTCTGCTCCTGTTCAGAAAGAAAATGCTGTCAAAAAAATATCCTATATAAACTTGCCACACACCCCAGACCATCAACAGGCATTTATCAAATGAAACACATACGAAATGCAACTCTTCTTCCTAATCCCAAGTCAAACGGGCTTTGAGTTTCAGACCCTCAGGAAGAGATTTCCATATTATCCTCCTCTGTCTCCGTTTATGATTAGCCCTTCTAAATTTCAGCATTTATCTGACAAAACACATTGGGGAGGGCTTTCTTTCATCCGCAAAGCCTGTGTTTCTGCTTTTCCTTAGTTGCTGCTGTACCGCACTGCAGCCGCTCAACTTGGGAGGAAAAGACTTTAGTCAAGACCCTTTGATTGACTAAACCCAGGATCACTTTCCTGGTGGTGGTAACCCCAAGCCCTTGTCTTACGTGCCAACACCAAAGCAAGCCGGCATTCACAGAAGGGGTTATAAATGCTGCCTCTGAGCCAAAATCTTACTTTTGGGGCTCAGTAATGCAAATAAAACATAAGTGCATGAGGGGTCCTGCTGGCAATAGCTGTGTGGCCAGTCTGAGTGGTCTTTGGAGTTTCGGGGGAGAATCTGTGATGGTGAAACATTTCAATCTGGTGTGGTGGAGCTGTCACACAGAGCCAAGGTTGACTCCTGCGAGCAACCACAGGAGCACAGTTACCGCTTACCATCCTCCTGCAGCCTGAGGTATGGTCCTCGTTAACCACCACTTGATATGTTTCGAATGACATATTCATAAACCCCTGAGTCTGATCACAGCTAATTTGCAGACAAAAAAGGCAGTACATTTGCTTAATACACTGCTTTTTGCAAACACCCTGATCATTCCCAGATGCATGTTTCTGCCCAGCAGCACTCGAGGCAGCGGGAGAGGAAATAATTGCAGCTCCCGAGAGTCACCGGCCTAAGCAGTTTCAAGATGCTCCAGGAGCCCTCCTGCATCCGTTCGAGGGAGCTGTACCCATCTCCCTCCTTCCATCAGTCCCAGCTTCTTCTGCTGTTTTTTTCCACACCAAAATAAAGCAGCAGAATCTCCGAACCCTTCTCTAAGCAGACCACTTCATATCACGCACTCAAGCACTGCAGGGCTGTCTGAAGCCAGATACAGGTGAGGATGGCATTTTGATCTCACCTACGGTAGAGAAATCAGTTCTACTGATTTCCACCGGTCTCTCCGAAACTTGCCCTAAGAGTGTGAAATTAGCTATGGAAAAGCTTCCAGGAAAGGTTGAGGTTGGTGGGAAGGAGGAAATTTCACAAGAGAATTTGAGAACCTGGTGCCTGAGCGATTCAACCCAACGCAGGTCTGGATGCTGAGGCCCAACACAGCTATGGAGGAATCTCTTTCCTGGAATAAACCAGTAGATCAGCCCTCTGTTTCAGCTCATGGCAAGATACTCAAAGCAGAATACAGCTTTGAAGTGACAGCCTTGAGGTTGGATGAACATTTTATTTACGACTTCTTATTCAGTTCAGCTATGAGATAAGGTAATAACAAAAATAATGGTGCTCAGAACTTACAAAGCAACTTTTATCTGAAATCTTAGCACAAGTTACAAACAGTATGGGTCAGCTGGACAGATTTCCCCTGGCAAAGCGCACATTGCTCCTGGAGGGAGCCTAGTTGATTTGGGACCTGCCAGGGCAAAGCAACGCTTATCTGGGTCACATCAGCCCGCTCCTGCCCGAGTAGAGCAGCCCCAGGACCACCCCAAAGCTGGTGGCTTTGGAATTGGAGACACACTTGAATCCAAACATCCTCTTCCTCTGTCGTCTGCTCCACCCAAAAGCGATTTATTTACTATTGCCCCAAGTAGAGGCTACCTAACACCATTGAAAAACCTCATTTAATCAGAGAACCCCGTACATGTATGGGCACAGCGCTGCTCAGAGAGCTGGGTCAACCTGCACGCAACAGAGGTTACTGCTTTCTCCGGGTATGAATTTTTCATAGTCACACCTCCTGGCTTTCCCCATTCATACATTACTTGAAAACAGCAACACAATTTATTGTACGATTAAAATTCAGTCACGGGTCACTTGCAAACTAGTTGGTGTGATTTACAGAGCAATCCGCTTCCTACATTGATCACTAGAAATTCCCACTGAAGGCGTGATCAAACAGTTCAAAAAAATAATCATGTGATATTGTTTCTGGTCACTCAGGAATGGACACAGAGATTCCCAAACCAGCCTCCCCAGCTGTCATCTGTGATTTTTTGGTGTTGATTAAAAAAAAAAATGAAACAAGCAAATTGGCCAGGACAGCTTATACAGATTTTTATTTTTTTTTTTTGCACTGTGATTATTAATATTGGGAGCAGTGCTTGAGCAGAGCTGTTCTTCAATAACCCATTCATTTTTAATAGAACTAAGAAAAATTTAAAAAGGTGTTTATATGAAATAGGAAGCCAAGTGCTGCATCTTTGTGATGAAGGTGGCTGGACTTCCCCCGGCCAGGCTGCTGAGCCTCAGCAAGCCCGCTGCAGCCCGATGCAGGGATGCTCACAACGCAGAGACCGTTTGGTATGGTGGTTTCTTTTAATTAGTCATCCCGATTTAGCTGTTCTCATTCCAGCCCTGCCCTGGCTAGTTCATAGTTAGCTGGGCACTCGAGGACTGTCTCAGAGAGCTGAGGGATTTCGCCTCCTCGATGACTAAGTACCTGAAAATGCGTTACCCATTAACATTTTGTAAATGGCATTTTTAAGCAACTTTCCGGAAAGCAAGGCTGAATGTGCTTCCGACGATTCAAGTCGCCTTCAGCAATCCCCATTCAGGTTTGCCTGTGCTGGGTAGGATCCTGCCCTTATCAGCTGCGTTGGGGAATTTGGGCAACTATGGGAAGTTTCATTTCCTGCTTCTTGGGCTGCCTGTGGCTGGCCGGCAGAGTTTGTAAAAGGAAAGACATTCTTCTAATTCTTGTTATTAACCCATTGTTGATCTCCAAGACAGGAGCCAAAATTGTCAGAAGAGCTCAGGATGCTTCAGCTTCCATCAGCCCATCGTTATACATCCAGCACCAGCCTCTCATTTTTCCTAATTTTCCATATTTTATTTTTCAAACAAAAAATAAGGCAGATGGAGCACAGACTTATTTAAATGCATGTTTGTGTTTGACACATGATTTACAACCTCTGTAATGTCTCAAGCAACGCATTGCCCGCGGCACCACAGCCTCTGCTGCTGCCGGCACAGACGGGCACGTGGGGCATCGCCACCTCTGGCACGGAGCCCAGCGGCACACCCCAGACACGAAGGACGGCAAGTAGAGAAGATGCAAACAAATGCTAGAGGTATTTTAAGCAGATGCAATACATTTCTCCAAGCTAAGCAACGCCTCAAAAAATAGCTAAGTGATATAGTAACAGTGTCAAAAATGACCAGAGCTGCTTTTCTATCGCTCTGGCAGTGACTGGGACAGTTTTGGCACAGAATAAAGCAAAATGTGTGCTGAATTAGTCCTTCCCACAGATATGTCTTCGCAGATCCTCCCCACCCAGCACTAATGCAGCCTCCCCGAGCTCTGCATGCAGCCATGGCATGCAGTTGCTGAGAAAAGCAGCTGTGGAACCCTTTTCTCTCCCCACCCCAGTGAAAATCTGCAGCCGTAGCAAACGCTCATGTGGGGAAGTGTGCGGTTCCTACCTGAACGAGGAGCTCCAGCTTCCTGTCGTCGAGGAGGTGCACTTGGCATCTGCGGCCCTCCGTCATCTGCAAGAGAGAAGAGGCATGTGTGTCATCAGGGCGCTCGGCTTTCCAGCTCGGCACGTGGCTGCCGGCTCCCCCGGCGCAAGCTGGAGGCTTTAATTCTCTGTGGTGCTTTCAGTCTGTGTTTGTTTGTATTGTTGGTTGTTTTTTTTTTTTTAATTAATCCCCCTTCTTTTGGCACCAGGGGAAAGCAAAGGCTGGAAGGAGGAAAAGAAAAGCCACCCCGGGTAGCTGTCACGGAGCAGCGCGTGGCGTCTGCTTTGGGGCAGCTGCGGGGAGGAGGTTGTTCCACTGTGAAAAATGGGGCCAGGGGGACAATTTGCAATGCAGGGGCCCCGACATTTCATGCTGCAGCCTCCAGCTTTGCAGCCGGCTTGGCCGGCAGAGGGGCCATCCAGACAAATTTGCACCAAACCCCTCGACAGCAGTGATTCAGCCGTCCCGGAGGTGGCACAGAGCAAGTGAAGCTCCTGCCTGGGCCGTGCTCACGGTGCTCCCTGGGGTTGCACCAGCTGCTCCTTTGGGCCTGAATCCCAAAATGGACTTGTCCTACTTGGGGTGTCCTAGTTAAGATCATAGAATAGTTTAGACTGGAAGGGACCTTGAGGATCATCCAGTTCCAACCCCCCTGCCATGGGCAGGGACACCTCCCACCAGCCCAGGTTGCTACAAGCCCCTTTCAACCTGGCCTTGAACACCTCCAGGGATGGGGCAGCCTCAGCTTCTCTGGACAATCTGGCAACCTCATCTCCATTTCCATGCTCATCCCCATGCCCATGTCCATGTCCAGGCCCATCTCCACCTCCATCTCCATCTCCATGCCTATGCCTATGCCTATGCCCATCCCCATCCCCATCTCCATCCAATGTACCACTGGAGCCACTCGAGATATTATTATATTGGTCCACAGGTGCTTCCATACCAGTATAGTTTATTACAACTGTTAACAAATGATATCAATAAAACTTTTAGGTATAGAAGACTATTTCTTCCAAGGTCCTGTAGATTGAGATGCTAAGAAATAAATGAGCCACAGCCTGAGGAAACTCCTCGACAGTCGGTCAAGCCCTTTCCTGGCTCTCCTCTTGCACAGAGCACCGTAAGTGAGGAGCAACTTTGCTTTGCAGAGTTACAGATCCGGACTCAGCCCTGCAAAGCCCTTCAGCGCACACAGGCACAAGCGCAATCCTGCTATCTGCTAATGGGATATGGACTGCCTAAGCCTCTTTAGCTCTTGGAAATCCCTTCCTCAGCACGACTTAGGCAGTACGCAGGCAGCCCCCCTGGCGTGGTCTTGCCCACGGCACTCACGCATGCCTGGACCCAGCTCAACCCCACAGCATGGCTCAGTCACACAGGGATCCACCACCCTCCAGTCAAGGTACCTTCCTGAGCTCTGCATGGATCCCCAGCTCAATTTAATGATATTTCTTGCCATGGCAAGTCCTAAAGCATCACCAGAAGGGAGCAGAGAGTCCGCGGGAACCTGACAGGTGGGTACAGGCTGTCGGGGATGCGGCTGCTGCAGCACCCTGAGCATTTCTGCCCTCATCCATCACCTCTCCCCACCGGTGACAGCTGAGCTGAGCCCCTGATGCAAAGCTGCCTTGCAGAGAGCAGGGAGATGTGGGCTTGGGGGGTTAACTGAGGACAGCTTGGCTTTCTGCTTTAGCTCTGCGGGTTAAAAATCACCCGCTCAGGTGGCTTGATGGGGCCAGACACGCTGGCATCCAGGAGGCAGTAGTGAAGGGCAGCTGGCAATGCCCCACCATAAACTTCACCCATCTGAGAGCCCAGGCGATGTATGGCCATTGCCATGGGCTCTACAACCTTGGCCATCTCCAGCAGCATCACCTTCACCCTGCCGGTTGCAGGTGGATGCTCCTGTGCTCCCTCTTGCCAGCTCTGTCCCACAGCCACCTTCCTCTTTCCCAGGACCAGGACAGACCGAGCCTTCTCCTGGCCCTAGCCTCTTCCCCATAGCAAAAATTCAGATGGGCCAACAACTCTGTTGAGCCTCAATCCGGCCATGCAAGATATGGAGTTCATTATGAGAAATCTTCAGTCAAAATGAGCCTTTCCCTTCAACTCATCCCAAATTTACAATCCTGGCATGCACAATCCCATGCGATCCAAGCAGACTTTACCCCCGTTGTTACTCACACCAGAACGCCTCTGGAGTATTGTGTGCACTAAATAACATCGCTTTGCTTCTCGTTTTCCCTGAGCACAACTGGAGCCTGGGCATTGCAGCCAAAGGAAAGCCTTGTAAAACAAGGCTTCTCATAAATGTCAGCCAGTTACCACCATGGCAATAAATTGTCTTCTTACTAGAGTTTCCTCCGGTAAGTAATGTCATGCAAAATATGGCTTGTCATAAGGTATATTACTTGGCGAGTGAACTCCAAGAGGTTGAGATCTCTCTCATCCTCTTACTGTCACGTATCTGCTGCATCCCCAAGATGGTGAGGATGCACTGATATTCCAGTTTTAAGATGAGTTTACCCAAAGCAAGAGATAAAGCCGTGAGTTTATCGTGGCGGTAACATGTGATGGCAGGGATGGAAACAGTCCAGCTCTTGTGTGTTACACTCCATAGGTTATACCAAAGTTGAAATAAGAATAAAAGAAGGTGAAAGGGGGAAGGGGGAAAATTTGCTGTGATGTTTGACTTTGTGCTTTAGTTTTTCAGCAAAGCACTTGCTTTCCATGTGGAGCTTCTTTAGCTCTTCATGCTTTTCCAACCCAGAGTTCCATATCCCCTTAGTGCTCTATCTGCTTAAAGAAATCCCAAATGCAAACAGCTGGTAACATGAAGTATCTGAATAAAGTGAAGCTCTGAAATGCAGCACATGATGGTTGACTAATTGCAAGGCATTTCATGAACATCACTTGCAGAAAAGGGAGAGGGAAGGCACACTGCTTTCACACCAGCTTGTGCCCAGCAGTTCTGTCCATCAGCGAAGTGGCTGTCAAAGGCCACGATCGTTTTTATAGTTGATCTCACAGTGTGTGAGCAGATAGCACGGCACGTACGTTATTTCTTTAGTGTCATCTTGTTTCTGTGCCTCTCAGGGGTTTGAATGTTCATATTACAGTCTAATGACGCCAGCTGATGGCCTGCAGGCCATGTCCACCTAGGCTATTCTGCACAAGAGAGGGTGAAGAGCTGCTGCAGGAGCTGGATGCATCAGCCACCGCACAGCCTTGGGGGGAGAAAGAGACCCAGCACTGGTCCCTGCTCCCAGTCCCAGGTACCAACGCAGATGGTAAAGGAGTGGTTTTGGAACCAGAGGCTCCAGGTTTTGTCTTGCATGATACCTTGAAGCTCAGAAGGACCATAACATACACGGCTGAAGATATGCTACAGTATTTCCTTCTGTAGACAGGATACCCAGCCATGGGGCTTTTCACTTCTCTTCAAAACAAATTATGTTTGCCAAGAGAAAAGAAAAGAAAGGAGAAGACAAACTTCCTATTTGATATAAACTGAAATATGATGGTCCTGCCTTCCCTCCTTTACGTTTTATTATTCCACCAAGTGTCTGAAGCCCACACTATGTGCATTTTTGCATCGTCAGATCAATACAAACCCTGCTAGGCTGTCTGAGCAAGAAATGGGAAAGTTTCAAAGCACGGCGAGAAGAAACTGATCTAGCACAGCCTGTCTGCGTGAAAGATGCTGTTTCTGATGCTCTGCAAATTGGCTGATCTGTGGTATCTGCTGCACTGCAATAGATGGGGCTGTGGCCGGCTCTGGGGAGACAAGTAAAGGAACCCTTTCTGCTTCTCTGTGTAACCAGGGAAGGGAAATCAACACCGAAGCCCTATAGATGGATACGTAGGAGCAGGAGGTCACTAAGCATGAGCTGAGCAGCACGAGTTGGGTGAAGGATGACTACAAGGAGTGAATTGAGTTTCTCCTCTCCCAAGGCTCTTACCCAGAGAAGGATGGGGGGAACTGAGAGCTAAGAGGCACAAAGGCATGGCTTTCCCTTCACCATGGAAAACCAAAGCAAAGAGACAAGAATCAACGGTTGAACAGAGCTGTTGACAGAAGAGAAGGACACTTGATGTGGCAGGGAAGTGTGGGAATTTGCTCCCGATCAAGTCCTGGGTTTCATCATGAGCTCAGTGAGTGCGTTTTCTTCTACCAACACAGACTCCCCGTTTCCTTCTGGAAGGCAAGAGCCCCCCACCCTTACTCCAGAAAGTAAAAAGTCAGGTGTCTTGTTTAACCTAACAGTCGAGATGCCCTTGATGCTCAAAGCAGAGAGAACTTTCAGACATTTCAAGTTAGGTGAGACAATTCCCAGGTGAGCTCCACCATTGTGCCTGCTGCCTGCTCAGCCACTTGCACATGGTTCGCCCCATACCTGGAGCTGAGCTCTAATGTTCAGCCCAGGAGAGGCCTCCAACAGCCAAAGATATTGTATCCACAAATTTCCGATGCTTCTCAAGACGTGTGAAGAGGTGGGACTGTGTATGCGCTCCTGAGTGCTAACAGTTCATCCATATGGCAGCGAGCTGCACACGCTGGGTGTGAATATGGGCCACATGCATTTCATGGGCCAGACTTATCACGAACTCAGACGGAAATTATGCGCCAAAATACAGAACAGATTTTTTTTTTTTTCAAAACAGCTCAGTACATCACATTTTTCTGAAAATCTGCCACTTCTTTTAGTGCCTGCACATGCAGCATGACCCCCAAGCACTTAAAGAGCTGAACACGAGTGCTTTTAAAAAGCTCTGTCATTTATGTACTTTTATGTATGAGTGTGTAAAGACCAGGGATAATATATCTCCAATACACAAACACAGATGGTGCTTCTAAGGCACATGAAGATCTGAAGGAATGTGTTTGTGTGGATGAGGTGGGGGATCAGCGTGCAGGAGAGCCAATCACACACAAGGCATGTGTGCTTAGAATCATAGAATCATAGAATCACCTAGGTTGGAAGGGACCTTCAAGATCATCACGTCCAACCATCAACCTAACA